GGGGGCAGTGCACCTTTTGTATGTAATTATTCCAATTAGCTATTATGTTTCAATTAATTTGAAACCGTTGTTCACAAAACTTAATAGATGTTAATTTTCGGCACCATAATAAATTAATCATATAGTCAGTAACGGAAGGAATGCAGGATCCAATAAACCATGTTTGTGTTGGACATCCTTTTCTTTCTACTATAATTATTTTGTTTCTAAGAAGCATTTTAATTTCATTAAACATTTATTCAAACAGTCTAAAGGAAGAATACTTTTTTCTTGAAGTAGTAGAATAGTTACTTGATCATCTCTTGAAAAATCTTAATCTGTGAAATCCATTGCATTAGAGGAAACAACTGTAGTTATATAAAAAATGGGATATGCAAGCAGTGATTGTACAGATAATTATCACCAGGGAATAGAAAAATTATGATGTTTGGAAAGAAAATACATCAGAATAAAAAAGAGCCAAGCAATTATGATTTTATTGGAAAAATATTTAAAATCCTTTCAGAGGCTTTTAGTGTTTCTATTCCTTGTTTTAAGAAGGAAAAAACAGAGTTATGAAGCTCAGGTCATAATCAGACCTTGAATACAATGTCACTCTATTTAGTTTTATAGTCAACTTCTAAATTTCATGTATGTCTCCAAAATGTACTGAGAGTAATAATTAATTTGAATTTTAATATTATTCACAGATTCTTTTTTTTTTTCCCATTCTGGTATTAGCAAGATATGTTTCCTATTTTTATTAAATCATCACATTTCATATAGAATACTGTATCCCCTTTTAACCATATAAAAACTACTTCTGTTGTTTAGAAAATGACTGATAAGTGTTCCATTTTCTGGTCATTCAATAAAATGTTTGGTTAGAAGACTTAAGAGCCTTTTCAATTTCTTATAATACGCGGCTGAAAATTCAACTTTATTCCTTGCATGAAATGAGTTCATGTGATAATGTTAGTATTTCAGTGAATCAATCCTCTTGTTGCTCATGGCAAAGGTTTTATTTCAAAGTTCCTAATTTATGAGCTGAAAAAAAATTCTTACGGGCCTATTTAAATTACTTTCAGTAGGATATAGGTAGTCACAACTGGTACAACAAAAGTAAGATTTTGGAAAAGACACACTAGCATATGAAATATATTTCAAATTCCCTCATGAAAAATAAAACATAAATTATATCTGTTAATACTGAAAAATTTTGAAAAATTTCGAGAAAGCAGAAGACTTTTAACAGAATTTTAAAAACGCCTTTCGACAATATGTCTTTTTCAGATTAACTATACAAGTTCTCAAAATAGGTAGCCATCAACGGAAGTTATCACACAGAAAATATAACTGGTTATAAAAAAAACCAATAAAAAATTGAATCTTATATGTATTGCTCAGAAAATACTGAGTTGTTACAAATGAAATTGGCCATTGAATGATATCAGGTTTCTAATGATTACCGAAGAAAGTACGTGCTGAGGTTTATGCAAATTTTTTTATGCTATATGACAACATTACACATAAGTGATACAAATATAAAATTTGTTTCATCTAACAAACATACTATCGACAAAGTCAATCATGGAAATCAGTCAATTAAGTTCATGTAAATTTACAAATTCAAAATGAAATACGGTGCACTGGTTGCAGTAAGGAACATCAATAAGGTATTCAATGAAGTCAACAATTAATAGGATATCCACTCATCATTGGTTTGCAAAACTTCACTCAGAAGGATTGAGGCTGCACAATAAATTGGTCACACAAGGCTGTGACTGATTGTCCTTCCTTCACTGATTCAAATGGACAGTTAAATATATATTTTTCAGTTGCTTCGTGCTTTTTAACATTAAAATGAAAATTAACGAAATGTGATTAAGTAGGTGCCTCGTAAATGAAAAAATAAAACAAAACAAAACACCGTATTGAAAGTGTGCTCTTTTTTTTCTTCAGATGTAAAGAAATGTTTCTGAACGTTAGATACTCTACAACTGTAAATGTTTGTCATAATGGTTGAGAATGAAAGATACTCCAGAAAAAGATTCTAAAGCATCTTTGTACCCAAAGATGTTTACTCTGTATGATGCTCCTTTGTTGATGTTATTCATTACTCATTCCCAAAAGGTGAAACAATAAATACAGCTCAATATTGTGGAGACATACAGCAAATGCATAAGAAATTGTGAACAGAGATGGAATACTATTGCTTCAAGGCATCAACACGCACAACAGTATGAACGCAATGCAAATCAACAATTTGAGATACGAAATTGTACCTCATCCTTCATGCTTTCCTGAAACTTTTCCGATAGATTATCATTTTTTGTACAGTTTTTTTATCATCATTAAATACATTTTAAAAATCTTGATCACTAAATTAATGCAATTTTTAAAAACTTGATCACTAAATTAATGCAATTTTTAAAAACGTGATCATTAAATTAATGGAAAGTGGACACGAATTCTATATGTAAACGTATTCCAAATTTCAGCTTTGGAGACGGATTTCAATCACATCTAAAGTAGTGGATTAGATTCAATTATTGATCATAATTGAATATAATTCATTACTTAGATTGAATTGAATTATAGATAATAGTTTATTTCTCAGCCCAGAAATACAACAGTTAGAAGAATACATTAACATACTCGAGACTTGGCTAAAACGATGGAAAATCAAAGTCAACGTGGACAAGACACGAGCTATCTTGTTCACAAAAAACAACAAATTCAATAAACAACTTCAATTTTATGGACAAGAAATCCCATGGGCCAAGCAAGTCCTTTATCTAGGGGTGATCCTCGGTAAAACTCTCACATGGACCCCACACATTATATCTATCATCCAAAAGTTTCGAGTTATTAAAGTTACACTTCACTGCCTAATTTCTCGAAACAGTTTACTTTCAATAGATAACAAGTTGCTTATTTACAAAACCGTTTTGCGTCCCATCCTATGTTATGCTTGCCTGGTTTGGGCTTACTCTTGTAAATCTTCCAGAAAAAAATTGCAACAAGTACAAAATCTTATCTTACCAACTCACCCCGGTATGTCCGTAATCGGAAGATACATGAGGAGTTGCAAATCGAGAAATTAAGACATTATTACGGAAATTTTATGATAATTTATTAACAACCCAGTTATCCGGGTCTACAATTATGATGTTAACAATGTAAATAATAGTTAGCGGCCGATGCCCGTACTCAGCAACAATATTGACTAAATATTTATCATTTTCCTGCTTGTGAACATGCACCCTCTTATTGTATGTTATTTCTGTATATCTTTCTCTAAAGCACCGTGAGATCCACACTTGCTGTATGTATTTGTTGCTTAGATATTAAGTGTCTTTGCAGGTTTATCACCAGTTCTCTCCTCTTTTCAGCTTTCCCAGTTTGCTATGTCTATGAATATCTGATTTTTGGTACACCCCAGATTATTAGAATCAACGTTTAATTTGTACAAGTAATACTTATTAAAAGTTTTAAAAAAATCTTATGTAAATATGTACCTATATGTTATGCTTATCTACAAGTTATCTTTTTGACATGATTTGCAATTGCTTAGTTGGTTCTACAAGGGGTAGAATTCTTGTTAACCCAGGCCCCCTGGTGCTACACCGTTTTTTCCAGTATTTTCTATGGTGTTAAGATTTCTATAGGTTTACCTGACAGGTAGATACTTTGTCGTATAAGTATCAAATACACTTTCTACACGCAGAGCTATCCTTGCAGGTGTCCCACAAGGTAGTCTGCTCAGACCCACTTTATTTAATATATATGAACGGCATTCCTATCACAGACAACATCACACTAGCAATATATACTAACAACACTGCGATCCTTATCCAAAGTGCATTTCTCAGCCCAGCAATACAACAGTAACAAGAATACATTAACATACTCGAGACTTGGCTAAAACGATGGAAAATCAAAGTCAACGTGGACAAAGCACGAGCAATCTTGTTCACAAAAAACAGCAAATTCGATAAACAACTTCAATTTCAATGGCTATGCGGTGGCCAGGGAAGGTGTTGGAATTCAGACTGATGTTCAGCGAACTCTCCATCAGGGTAAAAATGCAATATTGCAGGTTGCACTCGATCTGCCAGTATATTTAGGTATCTCGTGGCTGTTTGTTTACCCTCGAGAAACACCAGGGCAAAAAAAAGTATCAAAATATTTAAAGAGAAAATTTTTAAAAATACAGATAATTTTATTTTATTTGTGGTAAAAATGACCACTCTCGTAATTCTAATGTAATAGGCTATATAATTCTGTAAATGTTTGTTAGTGATAAGTTCAGTCGAAGTTCATAATGACAAAAGTTCATAATGACTTCCAATAATTGAAATCTTGAGGAATTACAGACTTTCATGTTGAAGTTAAAATCATTATCCTTTTATTATTCTCCGTCAAATATATTCATATATTCAAACACAATCCCAGATTCCCAAATTATTATCCCCAATTTATGTCCCAAGTTCCCAATTATTTGACCTACATTCTCTAATTTATATCCCAAACTAAACTGTTTACCATCTTAGTAGTCCCAGGATTACTGCCAGATGCAGAGCTGGAGGAACAGCTCTTTCAGTTAAACTCTTCATCCTTCATTACTCTGCATCCTCCATTACGTTTCTCAGCCTCAGTAAATTACACTCACTACACACATACAACTTACATACTGTTGAGATATCTCTAATCGCATTCTGACTAGTTAAAAGGAAGTATAGCTTTCTTTCACGTCCGATACATACATTAGTTTCAAGTTCGTCCGATGCATACATTTATTTTAGGTCCGAATTATTCTGAAACTTAATCCCATTCTTTATGTTATTTTTGATTGGTTATTTATTGTCTTGTTTATGATTTTTTAAACCATGATCAACAGATCATGTAAGGTTAGTGTAAAGTTATATATATATGACCTCTGTAAGCGTTTTCTCTGCTCATGTTATATTAAAAGGACATTTGATTCATATCTGAAAAGTGCAGAAAATTGTGATGGAATGGAAAGTGTTAAAGTGATGGTGAATCTACCCAACATTGGGGAAGTCACTTTCTGTGCGGTGTATAACCACCCTGGGAACAAGCTCAGTGCTGAAATTCTGGATAGACTTATTAACTCGGACTCCCCCACCTTTCTAGATGGCGATTTAAACGCCAAGCATCTCGACTGGGGATGCTGCAACTCGAATTATAATGGACGCATAGTGCATGATTTTGTGTGTAATTACCCTGTCTTTCTGCATGTGCCGGATGAGCCTACCTATAGGCAAAATATGCTCGACCGTCGGCCTGACATTCTGGATATTTTTATTACGACATTCAGTATTCCTATGGCTATTACGGTAACATGTGACATGTCTTCTGATCATGTACCTGTGCTTGCTTACCTTGGAGTGGAAAATGCTAAGAACCTACCGCCAATTAAGCATACTGATTGGGATCTTTATCATAATACTTTGATGACCACTGATTTGAATTGTGACTCGTTACAAAGCACTTCGGATATTGAACGTGCTATAACAGACTTTACTCAAATACACGAATTATATTAGTAACAGTTCACAGAACTTAAAAATGAATAATAAGTAATACATAAAGAAAAGCATTGCTTTATTTAACACCTTTACAATTCGTAAAAATAGTAACAATTGATTTCTTACTTTTCGTGAAAATTATAAAACGAATTACCTAAAACGTTCAAATTATACAGTTTAAATTCCTAGCATATATCATTGTATGTTAAGGAACGAAGATGCCAGCTATAAACAGAAACATTAAAATGTATTTAACATATTTTGATTATTATTAAGTCCTTTTTTTCACATCTGGAAAGAAAACAACATGACATTGTGATATTTTTTAACATAGTTATCCAATTACATAAAAAAAGATAAGCAATACTTCCGCATGAAAAGTAATCCCAGGAATCTTTCTGGAAAATCTATTTGTTGCATCTATTTGCAACACAAGCTGACATGCTTTAAAAAAAAAAAGAAAAAAATGTTGCACACGTCATTGCGATAGCAGTAACATGGCCGCCAAGCTTCACCATTTGATTTGAACCTTCCCTACTTCTATTCTAACCTCCTTGTTATTAACAAACTCTACGATTTGAAAGCGAGTAGTGGCAACACTCCTCGAAATAAGCAGATTTTTATCTCTAGCATGCGAAACTATTGCCACTCGGAAAAATGAAGGCAAAAATTAGCTTTTAAAATTAAATTAATATTTCTGATTTCAGCTTTTTTATTATTATTATTATTTTGAAGAAAGTGGATATCAACCTTTTTCAAAACCCAGAAAAGAATTGTAGAAAGTTTGGTGTCGATAGCTGTAGTAGTGTCTGAGTTAATCGCGAACAAATACAGACTTTCTTCTTTATATATACGAATATACAACTTAGCTTTAACGACCAGATTCCGAATAGCATCGCCAGAAACCCCAATGGGTTCACAGCATATGGTTCATTGGGAATGATTGGTTTCATCCTTTTATGAAATGCAAGTAAACAACTGCACATTACTCTTACGGATGAGTTATCCTCAGATCACAAACCAGTCCAGGTTATTCCTAATTTTAGTTTCTATATCACAATAGACAAATGACCAAAGGTTACTACAACCAACAGTTGAGAAAATAAAGACCGTTTACAGACTTTTGTGGGTCACGGTGTATAAGCTCAAGGAATTTTAGGTCCACTATGAAGATTGAAAATTTACGTTTAATTACGTTTACGTTAAATTTATGTTTAATGTGAAGGATGAAGCGGAAGGCGATATTGTTTTGCTTTTTACTCCGTTTCCTGCCTGAATACTTCACTAAATGCCCTTAATCTCTTAAACAAAAATAATATCTATACCGCGTGAGAAAAGAATTGTAAAAAACTTGGAAGCATTTAATTAAGGAGCCTATTTTGTTTTCTGAAGAACCGAAAGGCTAAAATTCGTTTGCATGTATTCACTAAATAAATCTTTAATTACAAAATTATAAGCAGAAAAGAAACTCGTATGCTTCTTATCCTAAATTTGGAAACTTTTTGAACTGAAAAGTAAAATTTCTGCTAAATTTTGGTATCAGAAACCAACAAACTAAGCAAAAAGGGCTGTTTTAAATTAATTACAAGCCAGTGAAGCGCTTTGCCCATATTTACTTTTTGTCTTAAATATCACTGTTTTGCAAGATAATTAGGTTTTGTGATTTTTATTGTATTAAAATTGAAAGTAATCACAATAAATTCAGAAAGGATTTAATGTTACAGCAATTTATTACAGATATTTTCCAGAAGTACACAAATATTCATGTAATTTTAGATTTGTGATAAAATGGTATGTAATTCCTTTTAGAGGTAGTAAAAAAAAAAAGATATTTCTCTTTAAATTGATCGTAAATATTTAAACGTAAGTTTTAAACTTTAATATTTTATTTCGTATCGTAAGCGTATAATAGTACATATTTTTATTTCCTATAAATTAACGTTGAGAGACAAAAAATCTTTCGGAATACAAAATTCAAACATTACCAATTAAAAACTATCTTAGTTATAATAAAATACTAAACTGAATATGTTGAAATGGTAAATTTGATTTATTTACTTTTATTACATTGTTTTCGCAATAGCATAATTTTTATGTTACAAAAATATAAAATTTTCTATATGTACACTAAATTTCTAATTCTAATTATTTTGTTTCCTGCACTTCGAAAATAAAACTTACTGACAAAATGATGAAATTTTGTAGTCACATACAGACTGGGAATTTCTTTTTCGTCTGTTTTCTTCCACGACGTTTTGTAGCACGACGTTTTCGCCTTGCGTTGTTGTCTCCGCGACATTTTCGTCCGCGATGTTATCGGCGTACACCTTTGATCTCTATTTCAACTTCTTTCCATATTTCTCACCAGAAAGCAAATTTAGCTTGTTGTTTATTTAAGCTGAGGTTTTTGGATTTTGAAGGAAAAAGATACTTTCTGACATCCGCATAGGAATTTTAGAATTCTGTCTGCTCTAGCTAAATGTAATTATTTTGGCTTTGCATTCTCTCGGAGCCAGTACTTTAAACTTACAAGCTGGTAAATTACTTAAGTCAGAGCTTATAGCTTTATCCTAATTGTGTAGTCTTAGTCTACTGAATCAATGTTTAAATTTATTTAACTGTTATTATTTTATTTGCACAGCACAAATGGTAGTTAGCTGTACATGAGCCGTGCCCTGTTTCTTTAAAAGTTTAATAAAAGGTTGTTTTAACATTCGTAAGTCTTTGTGATGCTATTTTAGACATAGCGATAATTTGTTGCTTGTCTAGTAAGATTATAGGACTAAAGCTCCAGTATCAGACCAAGTATAGCCTGATACTTTATTAAATGTGGAAAATACTTTTTGAAATACTACACTTTAATGTCACGTTTTCAAAACACACATTTTTTTCTAAAGAAAGAAACTTTCAGTTTCGAATGGAATTTGGCGAATAATTATGTTTTATGATTATAACTATTTCTAGGTACATACATTTTGGCTATAAAGAGTAGTTATCTAAATTGCTGCTTAATTGGTTAGATTCTTCGTCGCTAAATTCTGTAGGAGGTTTCTTTTTGAAAAAGCTCTTAATTTTTTCCAGTAGTGTCATTGGTTTAAGTTCACCGTCACTTTCATACCCTTCGTTTTCAGCTTCTTCTTCGTTAGAATTTTCAAGATTTTCTTTTGATGTTTCAACTTTTGTCTTTTTCTTTTTCTTCTTTTTGGAGTTTCTTTTTTCTGCAGCAGCTTTAACGACGTCAAGCGCTGTAAATCAAATACAGAATTACTCTTCACTGCAGAGGAAAAAAAGGAGACTTATTACACAAAACTAGTTGTACTAATTTTATAACTTTTGATAAATTCATGAATTTGTGATAAAAAAATTATTTACTTTTGTGAAGTTCTCAACGGATCAAAGAGAAATTTCTCTCGTCCTTTTGAATACAGCTTTTAATTTGTAACATAACCTTTAAGTTACCAGCTAGTCTTTTCTTAATTTAAAAATATACAGACCTTCACTCCAGAAATTTAAGCAAATGATGTGAGAAATAAAGCAAGGTATTATCATGCGTACACACAACTATGAGTAAATCATACATGTGCGCATTTCAGATTGATTTATGCATGCAATAGAATAGATGGATGTGATTCATACAGGAGTCAAAGCTTTTTGGTGGAGCCTCAGCTAAGGTACTGATTGTGAAAACTACTGATTGTGGGATAGATTCAGGGTACCTGAATTTGTACAAACTGTTAGGCTTTCCATAGCAGGAGGCTTGGAAAAGTAATAGTGGCGGCGCCGCTGGGATTCGAGATACTGTTTGTCCAAATATTAGTTGGATGTGTTAATCACTTACACAGCAGTCTCTATCTCAAACTGCATGTGGGTCGAATGCACGATCAAAGAGCAATTAACGGATCGAGTTTTTTTAACAAAATGAAAAGTTTTTATAACAAACGAACATTTTATCTACTAAATATTTACCAAAATTTACATAAACACTAATAATAATGACGCAAAGAAAAAATTCCAAAATTTATATTTATTTTCTGTCTGAAATCTAAAGGTTCGAATCTACAAGATATTTTAGTTGGTTATATCTGGTAATTCAAATGTGCTAACAGATGAATACTATCACAGATTATATTATATATATAATATTATAAGAGATGAATTTTCAGTCTGATATTTACTTCAAATAATTATAATATGCTGAATTAATCACTAAACCACTTGAAAAAAGTAAATACTAAAAAAAATTTTCAAAGCCAGATAAAACTTGAGAACAAAAAATCAAAACCTATTCTCATTTTGTTTATTAAATTTTTCTTTGATGCAGACAGAAGAAATACATATATTTTTATGTAAATAATTATAAACTTCTTTATTTCTTACTAAAACTTTCATCTACAAAATCTAATGGCGTTTCGATTTTGAGAAATTTTGTAGTCTTAGATAAAAATTATTTCAAACTCTCTTCATCATGAACTGCTGATGCTCATCGGTCAATCCGGTTAGACTTATTTATTTTCAATTGGAGAAAAATCTTTTAAGATATAAAAAGATTATTCTTATCGCAAAAATTCGTAACTGTGGATTTTTATCTTCTGATAAGTATGAAAAATGTTAATCAGATCTGTATCTTCAGATCTTAGAGTAAGATTTATATCACAGTGTAAATTAATTAACTCCATTTGTAGATTTTTAGGACGTTATTCATGTTCGTTTATGATGCTAATGAAAATAATATAAAACTGGATTCTAAATCATTAAAATCTTAAACAACTTTCTTCAAATTCTTGTCATAATACTTAACCTCATAATAATGCTAATTAACTTACAGGAAATGCATTCGCAGGCCGTATAGAAATGCTTCCGTGGCTGCATGTGGCTCATAAAATCACGCTCATATCTTAAATCACGTTGTTTTGGCTTGTGACAAAAAGCCATAATATTTTAATACAGATTATTGGTTATGTTAACTAGTTAAATAATTTCATCTACCAGTCTATGATGACTATACCTTGACAAACAGGTGCTATAGTCGGTGTGCATTTAAACCACGTGTATGCAAAATAGAAATTATAATTTTATAATTTTTACTAAATGTTAAATTTTGTATGTATATATATATTTTAACTTTGGGCATTCTCAATTTGAAACCCGAAGTTCGTTCTCTTATCAAGCAACCTCTTGAACAATACTGTTAGTTACTTAGGTACGTTTAAGTCCCACTGTCTATTTCAGGCCCTTTTAGTGTTTCGCTTAACAGTTTCTTAAGTTCAACTCCATTCTCTGCTCTTTAACATTAGAATGCACCAAAAGTACTCAATTTATGAAAAAAAAAAAAAAAAAAAAAAGGCTGATGTTGAAAAAAGAAATGTTTTGTGATTCCACAATAGCTACAGGATTAATTGTACCTTCAGTCAGGATTTGGTAGAGGAAACAAACCACCAAAATGGGCTGCTTTGCTTCGCTTGAAATATAGCTTGAAAACATTCCAAGAAAACAGGAAGGGTAAAGCTGATTTGTAAATATTACTCATTTTGTAAAAAAAAAAAAAAAAAAAAATCCCTTAGCGAGGTGTGGATTGCTGCTGTTTCATCCTTAGATTAAATCTGGTAAGAGATCGTTTTTAGGATCAAGAAAAAATTATCTATTTTCCATAGAAACCTGTTATCTGGAGTTGTAAGATTAGGCTCTTCCCCTCCCCCTAAAAATGAGCAAATTAGTTGACTAAAAATAAATTATGAATAAGACTTCCCATTGAGCTTTAAAAATATTTTTAAAGCATTTATATGAAGCAGAAACATAAGATAATAATACCGCGTAACTGCAAAAAAATTTGAAATAATGTTTAATTTCTGGAGTAATAATTGGCGGTTCTATGTTCAATGAGGTGAAAACATTTGTAGTTTTCTGATGTTGTTTCCCCAATAGATAATGAATAATTTTTAATGATGATTAAACTATCCAAAGCGTTTTTTTTTCTTTATGCTTTATGAGGAAGATATATTTGACGTGAAGTTTTCTTTCTAAAGCTACCGCATATGAACTTCTTATCGAAAAATTAGGTGAGAGTGTGGTAAATTTTGAAAACAGTTTCTTCCGGCCAAGAGATTGGGTTGCAAAAGAAATAGCAACGGCGCTTTGAAAATACTGTACCTATTCTCTAAAGAAATAGGTAACTCGCATTTGTTTTCCTTCTTGATTGACAGGTGTTAATAATCTGATGGCTTTCTGAAAGATGGTGTGAATGCAGTTACAGCAGAAAAATTTTGAACAAAAAAAAATAAAGAAATCGTTTTTTTTTTTTTTTTTTTTTTTTCCCTCTTTTCTCTTTCGAAGAACAGATAATTTTGTTCACATTAAAGTTTGACTAATCAGAAGTAACAATACAATATAAGTGATACAATAGCGAACAGACGCTAACATAGAAATGAGCTAGGAATTTGTCGGAAGTAAAAATATCTGACCTAATAAAGGGGAGTGACTTGCTATCTGGATGATCTTCTAATGAGGTTTGACTGTATACTAATCTTGCCTATACCTGTGAATGATCCTATTTCATTTAATTGATAGGTAGCTTAAACAGGAAATTTAACAAAATGAAATTGACTGAAAATCCTGTACATTAAATGCTAGAAGATACCAGGTGAAATTTAAAAGAATTCTTGATTACTCTACGAAATTTTGAATCGAAAAATATAATGAATTTCTGAGCACTTACCCCACATGAGGTCAATTTCTTCAACTGGCACTCGATCTAAGTAAGATCGAAATAAGAGTGTAATTTGATTCCTCTTGTGATTCGCCTCGATTTCCTGTCTTGTGCGGGGAATCCGGCAACGAGTAAAACAACATGCAACGACCACTGCAAAAAGAAATTAAATGCAGTATTGTTAACCCTACTTCTCTAAAATACACAGGTTATTTTTTAAGTAAGGTTATTTTTTTATAAGTGAGAATGCGTGCATGTGCAAGCTCCTGGTATTCTTTGTGCAGAATCCGAAGTCACCTGCATTCAAATGGTCAGTCCCTTTCTGTCAGTCTCAAAAGGTCCTCCATAATATGAGACTAAAATATTTAAGAAAATGGATGCCCCGCCGATTATTAAATACGCTCAGTTATCTGCAAGGAGCAGTGGATATTCATCGCCAGATATATGCAGTGTATGATGGCAATGTAATGAGGAACAACAAAGACCTAAAAAGGGTAGGATTCCTCAAGGAAGGTCGTGAACACGTCATCGCACTGTATTTGGTCATCTGGAGTCGCTCATGATTTGGTTTCAGGCAAATTTATGCAAACAGGAGTTTTGAGAAAATGACATGGACAAATGAACGAATGAATAAGAAGTGAGAACTGCCATGAATAAATTATTATTGTCACAGGCGGCAGAATTCTGTAAGGAGAGTATATCCAAAAACCCGTTATTCGTAACAATAAATTTTTTAAATGCCAAAGAAATTTACGGAAAAATAAAGAATTATACATACAATCAGAAAAAAAATTTGGAAACTTTTCATTTGTTTTTATTGGAAAATGGACCTTATTTTAAAAACAACCATTGTACCTTTTTAGGCTGCTAATTACTAATAACAGAAATCTAGAGATTATACGGACGTTCCTCATTTCTGGTCATATGACTCTAGGTTCTACGTAGGGTCTGACGTTATTTTTCTAACAGTTAATTTTTCGTTAGAAACAGCTTTCCTTAGCTTCTTTATTTTCCTACCTACGTTTTCCTGCCAGAATTAGCTTTTAGTTTTTGTTACGACTTAAAGCTTGCTATTTTGCGGCCCTGCTTATTATGTGCCTGTTAGCTTACGCCGGTGATTTTAGCTAAGACCCAACTATGCGTTTAAACAACTCTGTGCAGCTTAGGCTGATTATTCTACTTAGCATTAGTTTAGTTTTACGTTTTCTATTTTAAGTTCAAGCCATGAGTGCTGGTTTCCTGTACGCCCAAGAGGGGCTATCTGTGAATATCTTTGAGTTAAAATAAAAGAGTATTTTAAACCGTTTTCTGAGTTGTTACTTACACAACAAGAACTTACCGAATAGTCGCTTCTGGTTCTACTATGTTCTACTATTTCAATTCTTCTACAGTCAAATAATCAATAACTTTAATTTAGTTAGAATATTACAACTCATTCACTTTTTTTCTGTTTCTAAACCTTAACCTTCTTTGAAGAAACTTAGTAAGAAATATAACGATGGATTTAATTCAGGTTGTCAGTCGTAGTCCAGGCCCACTTTGGCGCAATGAACCGTGGTTTTACTTCACGAAAAATGGATAAAAGCTCTATGCAAATGCTGCATGAAAAGGTCTCTGAAATTTAAAATAGATGCATTGTAAAAGATGTAAATGTTAACGAAACTATAAAGCCAACAATGTCTTTAGTTCTCATGGACACTGGGCCAGGGTGGGGTTGGTCTAACAGGCACGAGCAACTTGGAAAAAGGTACCCATGCCTTTTCTCAAATTATCCATTGTTCGTCAAGGTGCAACGGTTCAATGGCATAAAGGTACAAAGCTGCCGGCATCTTTTTCAAGTTGAAAGTCGTTCTTCAAGAATCAGTGGCACTCTGACATACACGCATAGCTGTGCCAGCATCCTTATGAAGTTCGGTATCATGGAGAAAGCAACATTCATCAAAGCTGCCGAGACACTCATGTGGAGGTCTTAGGGAATAACTGTCTATATGCATTGAGGTACCCGCAACTTTATAACATTTTACAAAATAATCCGGGTGGTGGGACAGGAAAATTCCTTGCTTTTATGCAATGGAGTAAAGAATTAGATCCAACAATTATGAATTTGCGATGAACTATCGACGACAGGATTAAAACGTTGAATTTAACACAGTTACCATTGGTTTAAGTTTTGATTTCTTAGAATGCCATTAAAATCTTTTTTCTCTATGAATTTATCGATTTTTCCTGCCTCAGTTCTAAAACTATGATTAATGTTTCATTGATTTTTTAACCCTTTATATAGGGTAACAAAGCATCGTCAAACACACCGACACATCAGAAAATTTTCCGAATTCCCGATCCATTTCTCCACTGGATAGAAGACAAATAGAAAGAGTTTCTTAAACCTCTGTCCCCCAAATAACTTTCCCTAAGAATTGGTTTTTCTTTCAAAATCTAGGAGGACTACTTGGGCTCCGTGGTATGATTTTACCGTTTACGATATGATCTTAGCTTGTCAATGAATTGTGCTTAAATTTAGTTTTGACTTAATATATTTATTTATTCCAGCTGTACTTGCTTCTCTGTTATTTTATACATTAATGGCTTTTTTATTTCGTAATTTCATATATTGTATTTATGTATTGGATATGGTTTTCGTATATGATGTGTGAGTTCTAATCCTGGGAGTTATTAGTCTAGTAAATGATGTATCACAGCAATATCTGTTTTTTCGCCCTATCCAAATTAACCGACCATAAAGGTCTTCAATCAAACTCTCTTCCATTTAAATGTTCTCATGCGTTATACAGGGTGTACCATAAATGTTGCGACAAACTTCTAGGGAAGGTAGGGCACATCATAATATTAAGAACTACATAGGAACCTATATACGAATATGTCAGGGGTAATCAGGGGTAAGTGGTAGCAGAGGTAGAAGATGGGAAAAGAAGCAAGAGTGATTAATTTGAAAGATTTGTTGGACATGAATACAAATGGTGTACGACAGCTTAAATGTTACAACAGATGCTCGAAGTTTGCACCATAGGACGCCAAACATGCCTGACACCGATTGACCATTTGAATGCCGCGAATTATTTTATCTTTTTGAGCAGGTTCTTCCCGATTTGCTTGACGATGTTCCCCCAAATATGAGACGCAACATGATGGGGGCCCTCTGCTCATTTTGGACTGGATGTTTGTAGCTATTTGAACAGATCATTCCCGTATCGATGGATTGGGCGTGGTGGAGTAGTTTCCTGGCCCCACGCTCACCAGATTTATTGAGCTTTGATTTATTTTTGTGGGAAGCCATAAAAAATATCGTGTGTCACGATCCTGTTGTGCCAGAAATGGATATCGTGGCAAACCTCTGCGTAGCTGCTACAGTCAAAGAAACTCTCGGTATGTTTGAACATGTCCGGCAATAACTGGTCCATCGGTGTCAGGCATGTTTGGCGTCTGATGCTGCAAACTTCGAGCATCTGTTGTAACATTCAAGCTGTCGTACACCATTTGTATTCATGTCCAATAAATGTTTGAAATTAATCTCTCTTGTTTCTTTTCCAATCTTCTACCTCTGCTACCACTTACCCCTGACATTTCCGGACATGGGTTTCAATGCAGTTCTTAACTTTAGGATGTGCCCTACCTGCCTTAGAAGTTTGTCGCAACATTTACGACAAACTGTATTCTATGAACCTGTAGATTGTATTCCTGTAGATTGTATTCTTTGAACAAAGCTTTTAAAATGGTACAAGCACAGTGGTTCATGTGAAGCATCAAAGGCTGTAGGCACGTTCATAAGAGAGTTGCAAATAGTTGGAAACTGTTATGAAGAGTCGTTTTGAACTTCTTGACTAGTAGTTATAAAGTAAATCATAACTGTCACGGATTATTTCAACAGATGACAACCTTATCCTGTTCATTACCACAAAGCTTTGAACGTAACTAATGTTCTGACACAAAACTGGAATTCTTGATTTCAAGGATCTTTTCTTGTCTATTAAAACAAAAGAATATACTTCACTTCTGGAGTTCTCAAAGGACTATGAGCCCTAAAGATTTATCAAAAAGTTCTCAATGACTGAACACATTTCTCGGTGTAACTCAAAAGTACCTTATGTATACAGTCAGACGGCAGGGTAGATAGATTTAATCTTACCATCTTTAATCATCTATTCGGTATTTATGTCTATTATTATTATGCTTTGATGTAGTGTAAAAAACTTGTAGATATGTATTTTCCGTAAACAAACAGTTCTTATGCATCGGAATACTAGATACAGTAATTTAGATAGATGTAACTAATTCAGTGGCTTTTTGAAAGCACTGAAATCTTCCATATCTATTAATATCTAACAGTGAAACGTATACAGTTTTCTACTTTGCTTTCATTTGAATTATCGTTTATAACAAAAAGAATAGATTGATAGCATTAAGTGGCTGCACTTGAAACTTAATGCATTACATCACGGCTAATTTTTTCAGAGCATTAAGTTCCGCGCACACTTTCGAGAGTTTCATATCTCGGTGATTCTTAGTCACACCGCGTGTTCAGTATCAAAACGTTAAAAACTTGTCACTATTTTCGAAGATTACGTCGAGGGTATCTCCGATGAGAGAAACGCCATATGGTGTTAATGCTTATTAATTACAGCACTTTTGGAAGTTAGCATAACAACAACAGTATCAATTCTGTGCATTGGTGTGTGCGCATGTCTGTGCATTCATGGATCATATAGAAAATATACTGAAAACACATAAAAGTATATGAACCGAAATATTACAATTATTTAATGGACATTTTAGTCAAATATTTGTACAGCACTCGCCGCTTATTTACATCTATTCCATTCTAAGCATATTTGAGTTGATTAAACGGCTGAGGTTAATAAATGGCGATTTCATATTGCAAGTTAAGGTATCAACTTTGAACCTATTTAGTAAGATAATAATTAATGTTAATCTAATAATTCAAACCTAAAGTATTACATACTAAATATTAATGTTAAAATTAAACTATTCGCGAAACTTGGAAATTTATTCTTTATTTATTTTTTATAAGAAAATCTTATAATTACATACCTGATGAAATTTTAAACTTTCACAAAGAACTTGGATTGATCAACTGTATTTTCAAGTTTGTAAAACTGTTGGCAGCTTTCTTGATCTTCTTTTTTTTCAAATTCAAGAACTCTTCTTAGACTTTGCAATGCTTTTCGCAGTTCAGTTGAGGTTGGCATGTACTTACTTTCTTCGATATCACTCTGATTGTCAGTTTCACTTACTGCAGCACTGTTAACACTTTCTATAATATCGTAGTTAATGTTTTAACATGCTGTCTCAATATTATCATCAGTTGCAAGATATTCTAAAAACGAATCTGTGCAATTTCCCTCACTGATATCCAAATATTAGAAATAGTTTACAATTCCTCTGTGGCTTCTTCTAAATAAAAATCACATTTTATAAATCAATTTATGTTTTTTGAAAGACTGCTTTCTGTGCCTTAACTATAATATGCATAGCCTCTAGCAAAGATATTGGCTTAGTTATTTTCTTTGAAATGCTTACATCTACACAAGATTCAGTTTTGTTTATTTTCTTTTGAACGACTCCTTTTATGTAATTAGATTGGAAAGCTTTTATAATACATTATTATAAAAGTCATTAGATAAAGCTTTCCAATTAGATTGTAAAGCTTTATCTAATGACTGAATGATAGAAGCCATTTTTGTAGGAAGAAACACTAATTTAATGTTTTTAAGAGCGGTATTAAAAGGGTGTACAGCACAGTTATCTAACAGTAAAGCTATTTTTTCGTTTTTTGGTTCTTTGTCCCATTTCAAAAGGAAATCAATAAAAATACTGCTTGTCATCCATGTTTCTCACTGTCATCCATCATGTTTCCGATGAACAATATTATTTCCTCTTTCCATCTTGTGAGCCAGCCATTAGTTGGCACAAAATTTTCTCCTAGTATTTTAATGAATTCTATGCTTTTATGATCAAGAGAGCTCTAGAAACTTTAACATGGTTTAGCCCCATAGCTCGAAACCATTCTATAAGAGCAGTTTTAGTGTCTCTCGATTTTCCATCCCTTCTGCGCTTCCTTGAGACATTTACATTGTTTACTGGTTCCTTATCAATTTTATTTCTTTGTTTAAGTAAATTGCACAATGCTGTTTGGTAAATCCCCATTTTAAAAGCTTCTCTTCGGCTGCATTAATCAAACGTATCATAATCTTTCAGCAATTTATCCTTTTCTTTCAGGCTTAAATCATTTCGTTTAGGAATTTTCCACGTGCTACAAGTCATACGTACAGCAGATAAAAAGTGTTTTCCACAGCGATTTGTTTAAGTCCAAAATTCCTGTTTCTTGCCAGTAGGAAGATTGAACATTTGCCTGTCAAGTCAACATGCTGACTTCATGGTTATTATAAGTGCAATCAATGCTTTCTTTTATTTTTTCTACCGCCTACAGTGGCCACTCTTCTTTTCTAATCATAGACTGATAATGTACGATAATGCAAATAAGAATTTCATAACGGTTTCTGAGATTACCCTGCAAACTTAAAGTGTGTGTGCATATCTATCCTCTACCATTTGGTGTTCGAAAAAGAGAACCAGCGTTCATTTAAGCACCACCTATTCTTTAATCCTGAGGAATACTCATTATTTTTTCCAATGCCTCTAGTGGACTGCTTTTATTAATCATAAGGTTATAATACGGTTGTAATACGGTTGTAACGATTAATTCAAATAAACATCGACTCGGTGGATCTATATGGTAAAATAAAGTAAAAGGTACTCATTAAATAAATGAACAAGGTTAAAATTCATAGCATTTAATGAAGAATTTACAAATTAGGAATGAAATCTAAGCCAGAAATACCCCAGAGATGCATGCAAATAAAGCACAACTTGGTTTGCATAAGCAAGCGAAGATGTTACCTATGACTGGATATAAAAGTGGATTACTGCAAGTAAAAATTCTAATAATCCCCTTTCAGTGATTTAGCATGATCGATTAATATAACAGTTACACATTGGTAATATTGTAACAATCGTTAATTATGCTTTAAAGTTTTCAGCAACTCTTGTTCGCAGTGACTTTTCTAAGCAGAATATCATGGCCGTGAAATATACTATGGAGTGACGAAGGGAGTTTCTGACTGAATATCACCGTCAACATTCAGAATATCTCTGCTGTGAAAAATCCACGTTATTTCCAGAAAGCGCCTTTGAATTGGCTTAAAGTATCAGTCTGATATACGTTTGCATCTACATTTATCTTCAAGCCTTTCTTCTTGGAGTAAATCTCGGAAAATACAATGCCTTTTTAACATGTTCTGTGATAACAATTATATGCCACAGACATTTGTTTTACCGAAATTCCAGCAAAGACAACTAACGGCATCTAACAGTTTTTTTCCAAGGCGATATATTGTGCATAATGGACGTTGTGTACTCTTGTTTGTGCATATCGAAAGCCTATCATTAAACGTTCGTTTCATATTGCCTGTCTACCATGTTCGCAAGATCTCAATTCTAGTGATCTTGGGCTGTGGAGCCACTTGAAAACATTGTTTAGTTTTTGCATGCACACTCTGTCGAAAACCTATCATTAAACGTTCGTTTCTTATTGTCTGCCTACCATGTTCGCAAGATCTCAATTCCGGTGATCTATGACATTTCGGCTGTGGAGCCACTTGAAAACATTGTTTAGTTTTTGCATGTTTTGTCTTGTCTGACTAGCACGCTGGCAAAACCTAGATCCTAATAATCTCAAAATTGTTGAAATTTTGGCAGAATTAAATGACCGTATCTCATTGCACGTGAGAAGCATCGCAGAAAACCACTTGTGATCGGCTGTTCAACGCCTACAGTTTTTGCAAGTTGGCTCTAGTGTAGAATTGAGTGCCCCTCCGATTAGGGACAACTTTTTTAAAATTTTGGCAATGAAACCTCACTTCTGGTTACCATGATAGGTTTAACTTTGTTTTAGCTTCCTGATTTTATTTAACTGAAAATAGATTGATGTGCACATGGACAAATTTAAGGCAGTGCACATGGACAAATTTAAGGCAGTGCGCAGTGCCTAGTTTGTGCAATTCTAGGATGTTTTTTTAAGTGAAAACAAATCGATGTGTACATAGACACAGAGTTTGTGCAATTCTTTGACTTCTTAATTTTGGTTTTATGTAGCGGTCATTTTGAAATTGTGCCTTTTTGACGCCGATCTTGGCGTCAAAAAAGAATCGCCAAAAAACAAGGGGCACCCTGTTGTAAACTTTTACCTGCAAATTCAGCATCGAGTTCTCATTGAGAAAACTGCTCATATCGTCCTGTATAGTACATAACATGTATAGTACATACTTGCGCGAATCACACTGAACTCCCTTTACTTATGCAAATCAGATTTTGTTTTCTTTGTTTGCAGCTGCCAAAGTGATACTTCTCTGATTTCGCAATCTCAAGTTCTATAAATTTTAAATTTTGTGAGTTTTCTATTTATTTACAAGTCTTTATTTATTTTGTCATGCAGAGCCACCTAGTGGACAATTTTGTGCTGGTTTTTTTCTTTTGTCGAAGTAAAGAATATTGTAGAGAAAAGTTCGTTTCTGTCAATGACGAACCATTTTGGCCGTACGACCAGCTGTGTTAATGCTGTAAAGTAATTCTTTAAGGTTTTGATTTAACAGATTTGCTCGTCCTGTAGGGTGAGTAATCGCTGTATCTTATTAACCATAACAAAAGCGGTGTCTTTCCATGGGAACCTTTCTATAAAATTGCCTGACTTTATGCGGTCGTGGAGAAAAACTAAGAATAAACACCCTTTAAAGCCTGACTTGCTCCTGTTTATCATAGAACTTCCAGTGCAAAAGAGTGACGAAAACTTTTGGTTGTGAATTAAAATCAAAATCATTTGGAAAAGGGGTTGTTTAATACGGTCTTACTGTCAAAAGCGAAGATGGGAATCATCTGGGATTGAAAATAAAGACAATTCACTTCCAAAAGTTGAACGGGTTAGGAATTTTTGTGTATTGTTCAAGGGCCTGATAGATGAAAGTTGGAGTATTTAAAAGAACTGCACCACGTGGGTGCCAGACAAGATCATATGGTGTCGCCGAAGATGTTAGTCGCTTGCCAGCACAGCCTCTTTGGGTGACATCCGTTCCGGAGCATAGGAGAGGTTGGACGCAGCACGGAATACAACATTCTATATTAACTAGGTAGGATACCTACACTTAGAAAAGTATCTTGATACCGAACCTCAAACTTATTTTTCCGTCAGGTTTGGCTATCCGCTGGACAGTTCACAAGTCGCCGCACTCCTAAAGGAGAATGCAGAATAGTCGCAGGGATATCAACGGGCACGTAATTTATTGACATCGGATATACGGTTAAGCCAGGCGTTTGTTATGGATACCGAGATTATCCCCCTATAGGGGGCATCGGAGTATAGGGGCGAGACTTATAGCAGAAGTCGAAAACATTTGGATTCATACGTAAGCATTAAATAACAAATAAAATTAAAGCTGAAAGTACATTAGTTAAGTGCATTAATTTTTTAAAAGTTTCATATCATAAAGTCGATTACTACTTTTTAACAGATTTGCCCTGCAATAGACATTTATTGGTTATTTTTTTATGAAAACTTTCATTATGCCTGATACATTACAAACAATAATGCTATTATTCTTTTCAGAATGATTGTTTGAATGACGCACAGTTTTTCCGAATCTCTTTTCCCATAAACGAATTATAGTTTCTTGATTTAAATCATAAATAGTAGCATAGCTGCTTTACCTTCAGTACACGGGTTCCCGATCTCGGATGCGAGGACGGGATCTCAAGGAGCGACAAACTGCGTTTCAACGATCGAAAGCATTCCATCTCATATTCGAAACTGGAAATACAGGAGACGCCATTTAATGTGATCGCGGTTAATCTTATCATTTCGATATTGTTCTCGAAATTCGTAAGTTCCGCCGCTTTGCATACAGTAGCCTCTTTGTATGTTTAAACTGAAGTAAATAAGGTCAAAATAGAAAATGTACCAATGACAGACGTGTAGCAAGTAGAGTAAAACACCGACACTTGGTTTCGATTTTAATCAATCGCTTAAAATTAAGCGAAAAAAGCAACCTAAAACCCTTATCATATCTAGCGTCGCACTCGGCTATGCGGAACATGTCCGATGAACGAGATACTAGTTACATTGGTTTAAACGGGAGGTTTCTGAGAAATGTTTTGTCTAGCTGAGGAAGCGATGTCCCGACTACGAGGATCATTTTAAAACTTTCCCGAAAATGTTTCTTTGCAGATGTGTTCCACGTAGAGATCAACCAATCAGACGAAAGTTAACTTCTGAAGGATCACGGGTAATTTTCAATATGGCGATGGCTTAATGGGAGATCCGAATGAAAAAAACCGATTTATTGAAAAAAAAGCTGTATATATATATGCTGTTTTGTTGTAGGAACTGTTTACGTATTTTTAATATTTCTATATTCTTAAATATAATCGTAGAAATTTAAAGTACAGTATTTTATGGGACGGGTTTTGATGATTTGACAAATAGTTCGGAGCCAAACGTTCGCCAATTGTCGTATTTCGTTCTGAATCGTTGAAAAGAAATGTTATTGTTATATAATAAATTTTTATCAAGTGTTTGGTGAATAATTTTTAAAATGTATTGCGTATGCCGACTTCACTTTTTTGTTTAGGACTTTACTCTTTTAATTGACATGAATCACGACATACGTAAAACAATAAGGAGCGTAAAAAAAAAAAAAAAAGAAACATACATACGTTATAAGAGAATACGTTATTTTGCATTATTTTCATGTTATTAATGAAATATCTTTTATATTCGATACATTAACTATATATTAGTAGAATAATCATTTGAAACACGAAATTTAGATTTATTATTATGATGAAAACATTATATATAAATTCATTATATAAGTTATTCATTACTTACCAATAATACTGAATACTTCTCCATCGCATCGGTCTCTAGTATAAATAGATGACTATTAGTGCGCTATCTATAGTTATTATATGAATATAAAAGGAACATTGCCAAAACGTTTTATTTGAAGTTACTTCTAATTCAGACAACGTCAGATAATTAGTAATTGTATCATCATTCTTGCACATTATCCTGATATGAATACACAGTTGAAAAATAATTGAAGTGCGGTGGCATTAGCTCATTAAAACCTCATTTACACAACCTTGCATTGTGGGGCCTTGGAATTTAAGCAAAACGGAGTAGCCTTTACGAATATTCAATTTCGGGGATAAAGAATATTCTGCACATAACATAAAATGATATATATTGTGTGCATAAATTATTAAATAAATATATGATGCAAAGTATTGTTTACAATATAGATCAGAAATAATGAAAATCACTGATCTAAGATGCAAAAGTATTTACAAAAATATCAACCATCATTCACGAACGAAGTCAAAACCATTATATTATAAGTAACAATTAATGTAATAAAACATGTCCTTTTCCAAGGTACGAGCCACATGTTAAAATAATTACAAATATATTTTTTCACAGAATTTTGAAAGCAACGTCTATTCGCCAATCTGAGCGATAACTCTTTCCTTTTGGCTTTCAAGTCTGTTTCCAATGAGATGGTACCCCATACGTAGGTTTGGGTTCTGAGGAATGTTTCTTTCGACGGCGTGTTCCTGCTACGAATAGCATGTGTAATAGGGGTTTCAATTTGGTATAGTTTTTTTTTTTTTTTTTTTTTTTTTTTTTTTTTTTTTAATAATTCTATTTATTTTGGGAGCGGTCAGACACAGGTCTCCTTCTTCAGAAATTTTTTTTTTTTTTTGGCAGTATCTTTTGCCTTCTTTCTTTGTTTCTGAAAAACAAAACATGTAAACAGCTGCTTTCAAACGCCTGCGACAAAGCTCAGAAAATGGTAAATGGCCACAAGAAGAAAAAGTTTAAAAGCAATAGAATAAGAGTTCCTTAGAATCTTCAGCTAGCCAGGAAAACAACGCTATATGAAAAGAAATGGCAGGCCAACGGAAGGCCCCGAAAATTTAAAATTATTCAAATATAAAAAGTCATGCTTCTTGCCGAAACCCGAGTTCAGTTTTTTTCTTCTAGTCCTGCGTTAAAGGAAGAAAATCACCACCTTGGTGATACGGAAAATTTTGATTTTTGCCATTCCGACAATAAATAACCGCCCCCGACATGTGAAGGATTAATCCAGTGTCCTTGGTTATATCGTAAAGAAACTACGGAATAAGTAGGAAATTTATTTTGAGTAAAGTTAAATTAATTATGATTGTTTAACAGAGAGTGAAAGTCTATTTAATCTTGCGAATGAAACGAAATAGTACGCAAGAATCAAAAATAAATGAATCAACAGAAGGAAATGATTGAGGAGATGTCATTAAAATTCAAAGCAATTGCATCTGATGAACCAAAGAATAAATGTGAAATTCTCCAGACCCTAAGTTCAATCTCATTAGGCTCAGTTATCACCGCTTAAGAAAGAAACAGGAAAAATCTTCTGAAAAACTTTGAAGAAATGGAGCAGCGAATTAAAGGCTTGGAAAAAGGAAACCAAAATCTTGAAGATGAAATGGAGGAAATGGTATTAAAACTGGAAGACTCTTGCAGATATTCTATTGCAGATAATTGTTCTAGTGAACTTTTTAATATTGTAGTAGAATTAGGAGAAGTTAAGAAACAAAATTCATATTTAAAAAGAAGAAATAAATTGCTCAAAAGTGTGTTACAGAAATAAATTATAAAAAAATCTGAAAGCTTTCAGATTTTACGTTATGCCCAAAGGGGCGTTTCTTCAACCTTATGTGTGCTACCTTTATTTATTAAATATCATGTTCTCCGCATTTAAAACATAAAATTCAATTCAACAGCAATATCGCATGAGCATATATTTAGAATTTCCGATGCACAGTCTCGCGCGCTGGACATAAACAGTTAAACGCAGTTAAGTGAATCATCCCGATTCAGTGAAGTCTGATGAGAATCAGCCTTATTCTGTGCGGTTTGCAGTTTTTTAATGAATCTTCTCGATTCGATGAAGTTTGAAGAGTTACCTTGATTCTATACAGTTTTGAGTGAATCATCCCGATTCAGTGAAGTTTTGGAGAATTATTCTGATTCTGTGCAGTTAAATAAATCATTCAGATTAGTGAAATTTTCATGGAATCACCCTGATTCTATGTAGTTTTAAATGAATCATCTTGATTCAGAGAAATTTTCAAGAATTATCAAAATTCCAAGCCGTTTAAATAGAATCTTCGCGATTCTGTGCAGTTTGGCAGAAGGTTAAGAACAATGAATGATGTTACCCACGACTTCGGAGAGCTGATCAACAACGATAGCTTCGTGGCTGAAATAACTCTATATCTCAAACAATATACCAGCTTAAAAGACGATGAGACTGGATGTGCTGCAGCACATCTCCAGAAATGAGGCAGACCGAAGAAATGTATTGCTGGCTCTTCGCCGAAATTTCATTCGAGCTAGAGGGGGTGGGGTCTGTAACCCAGTGGCTTTCAAGCGCGTGCTAACGTCAAGACAGAATTCAGAAAATGGTAAATGGTAACAGTAAGAAAACGTCTGAAAGAAAAAAAAATAGAATAACAGTTATGTACAATTTTCAGCTATCCGGTAAAACAACGCTAGAAATATATGAAAATACCTTCTAAGTTTTCTTTTTTTTTCCCGTGTATGTTTCAATTTTACATTGGCGTTTTCTCTTTCTATAAGGGATAACCTCCAAGTATTAAGATTAGGAGTACAGCATTAGTTAAATAACCTGCAGAACGCTTACGAGTGGTTCATAAACGAGTTTTGGTATTAAAGACGTTTGTCATAAACCAATTTTTGACTTTTCGTAATTAAATTGCTCTGAAAGTAGCTATTTATGTGTTTTTTGTTATATTTATATTAAATTAGTTAAATTACGTTTCAATTTGGAGAGGCATTTTTTTCTCATCATTTAATGTTATCATTCGTTTAATTTTATTTAAATAGTCGTGGATAAAGGTAATCACATTAAGCAGCTCCTATTGTATATGCAAGTACTAAACAAACTGATACGTGTTCGTTTATTAGGTATACAAATTCTTCACAATTTAATTAATATACGCTGAAGAGCCAAAACATTATGACCACCAATTCGAGCCTTGTGACATGGGGTATTGCCCTGGGTGGAAGATTCCATTTTCAGTTGGAAAGACAGACGTCATGTAAGGGTGCATCTGATCCGCAGTTATGTTCAGATAGTCCGCAAGATTCATGGTTTGTTCTGCAACAACTAAGAGTTCCAGAAGTACCCTGACACGACCATCAAGGTGATGAATGAGAAATCGTGATTCATCGAACCAGGTAAATGTCTTCCTCTTATTCATGGTCCAATCTCGGTGTTCCTGGCCTATTGTATGAGCAGTTGACAATCTGCTTCGCAGTCACACATCCAACAGTTTTCGCTGAACTGTGTGTTCCGAAGCATTTGCACTTGGACCTGCATTGTATTGGGCTGTCTGCTCAGCCACTGTCTGGCACCGATTTTGCTGTACCATGCGGAGCACTCTCCGACGTCCTTTTCCTTTGGTGACTCGTGAATGTCCAGCATCTTGGCTTCTACTGCTGGCTTCCCCGTCATTTATCTACTTTCATAAATACCAACAATGGCAGTTCGTCAACAACCTATCATCGTACAGTTTCGAAAATGCTCGTTCCGTGTCTTCGGTGCATTACAATCTGCCCTCTATAAAATTCGCTTAGATCAGCAGCCTTTCCCATCACTCGTAAAAGTAAATGCAAGAATGATTCCTCACCTTCTCCAGCAGCAGTTAAATACCATTCCCACTTAATCACGTGCTCTCCACGTCATCCAGACGAGTTCATTGAAAAGTTCGGGGATGTTATAATGTTTTGGCTCGTCAATGCATATGAAATAAGTAATGTATAAGAATAGGCAAACATTAAGTATAAGCAATAAAATAAATGCAAAATGCAAGCGTAAAAAGAAAAGCCTTCAAAATTATACTTATAACGAAATAGATAAAATACACGTACAAACATAAACAGACACAAACACATACACTAAAAAAAGGGGGGGAAAGGAGAGAAAACTCTATAAAAGTTTAGATTTTTGCGGTTGCCCAAAAGGGCGGTTTTAAAGTTTAGTATGGTTAATCAGTAGAGATCATCAAAAGTGTTGCGAGCTATGGGATCGATGTTGTTTCTTTAAATAATGTGTCCAGATAAGCAGGAAGAAACGAGAAATTTATTAGGAAAAAAGCTCTCTTTGTGTAATACAAAAAAGCACAGGCAGAATATAAAAAATATATTGTCGTGACAAAAGAACAGTCGTAGAAGAATTACTGCACAAATACCATCGATGCGTATGGTAAAGTGTAGAAGATCGCTTCGGATAAGGTCTTCAGACCAACTGTATTTCCAGCTGGCATCCTCCCAACAGCACAATCTTTATCTGATAAAGTACAATTCGTTATTTCAACGCTGCTTAAGGACGACGCCACGGAGGAGGATACAACAAGCCAAACTAGATTGAGGAACTATTTTAATACTATGTTCCCCACCCCTCCTCTGGAGAACCCCTCCCGAATAAATCGGAACTGGGAAATTACATAAAGCATCTAAATCCTAAAATGGCCCCAGGTCCCGATAGCATCGACAACTCTATCATACAGATGATAAATAAAATAGCGCCTGGCCTTATTACAACTTTTGTCCAAGCCTGTTGGAAAGTGAGACACTTCCCACTCGATACTAAAACGGCAGAATTTGTGTTGTTTCATAAGAAAGATAAGAATCCAGAGCTACCTACATACTATAGGCCAATCTGCTTCCAGCTTTGGGAAAAGTGTTGGAAAGAACTTAGAGGGAAATCCACCGATCATGCCATCTCTCGGCTAATCTCAGTGGTTCGATCCAACAGGGCCGAAAAACTACACTCGCTAATCATTAGCTTCGCTATCCAAGGCGCCTTCGACTCTCTGTGGTTCTGAGACTTCTCTCAGGTAAACCCTAACTCATACTTCAGCTATCCGTTGTCTCACAGCTGACTCGCAACTAATTCACAAATGAATTCCCTAGCTCTCCGAGCCGTGATTATTCCCTGCAGCCAGGGCTCTGGAAACTTCTGGAAGAATCGATTCGAAAATGTTTTTACCGAATCTTCCAGAAAGTCATTAAGTTGATGATAAATTGCCAACTGTCGCCAAGTTAACAACAAAACTCTTGCCAAGACCCTTTAAGAATGAAATTGCCTATATCTTGATTTCTAATTTAGTTATTTTTGCTATGCAAGAAACATAATTAAAAGATCTACAACTCTGTGCAATAAATAAAATCTTCAATTGAAGATATTAATTAGACTAAACTCAAAATAAACCATAAAATTACTATTCTAAAAATAATAAATAAAGCAATGCAAAATACTACAAAAATACACAGGGAAAAAAAAACATCAAAAACGATTAAAACATTTACAGATGTATGCATGATTAGAGATGCCCCAGGTGGAATAGCGTAACTTTTTACAGGATATTTTATGAATGTACATCTATACTAACATGAGAACGTTACATATCTTATGTATATTTAAAAAGTGAAAAAGATATGTAACTTCATTTGATAAAAGTATTGATTTATTTTAAATTAGATATATCATGAGTGAAATTTATTTTCATTTCAATCAATTTGATTTAAGTATTCTTAAGAACGGCAAACTTGGTTTGTTAGTCAATAACATGTAGATTCAATTTGAAGGATTTTATATTTTGCCCAACAACAACAGAATCGAATAAAAAGTGAAACAAGGCAAAATCATGTTTCGAGATTAATAGCGCCTTGGGGCCATTAGTGTATTAAAAGTGTAAGGATAAGCAATCAGAAGTATGCTAATGAATTATTCTGATCACGGAGTATTTAGTAAAATTTCATTTTTGGGTACTGTGTATTTTAAAAAAGTCGAAAATATTGCAAAATTTCACCATTCATACACTTCTAAGTCATTTTATTTGAAAAAGTGAGACTATAATGATAAATTATATTAAATATCAACGTAGTATATATAGACCCGATTTTGTGTTTGTGAAACTTTCATCCATCAATGTAATTTTTTTTCCTGTTAACTAGCAACAATTGCGAACATCTACGAAAAAAAGACAATTAATTATTTTTATGATTTTACGTAATAACTAACTAATTTATCTTAAGCATTTCTGAAGGGGAAACTGATTTTTAAAATAACCTGCAGGGGGAAAAAAAGTATATTCTTGAATTTCTTGACACAGAAATCACAAGAATCAAAAATAATTAAGCTAAAATAATCTAAAAGGTTTGTGGTAATGATAAACATTAGACCTTGAGAACATACAATGCAAATGCTTTTATTTCTGAAAGGGTGTGAATTAGATGTAAGTGTTCCTAAACAGTAAAGTGTGTTTGTGTATATATACTCGAGGTGTGGAGAAGAAATTACCATCTGAAAATTTCAGATTGCAGTTTAAAACCTCGAAGAGTTTTCTATTAAAGTTTAAAAATAAAATAAATAGAAAATCTAACATAAAGTATGTAGAAATTTCTTGAAGCTAAACAGTAACAGCTAGCCTATTAGTTTAAGAACTAGTTTTCTAGAAATTCGAGATACAAAACATTAGATCTTATACTGTATTTGCTCGCGTACCGCCCCTTTATTTTTAATTATTTTATCGCTCGAAAATCGAGAGGGGGAAAATATGTGAATAATTTAATTTCTGAAAAATGATTAAAGTAAGAACATAACAAAAGAAAATTAGTCATGGATAAACTACAAGTAACTATCACAATATTATTTCTTCAAAAGAAACCTACATTAAAATAAGCATATACGCAGAGGTTGTCTTTGTGTGTCATTACGTTGATGAATCCATTTTTAAAATTTAGGGAAGCCCGTTATCTGAAAGCAATGAAAAGGGGGAAATTAGGCGAATATTTTTAAAATTTTTCATAACTTAGCGCTAAGCTGCTAAGAGGGAAATACGCAACGAAATATGGTATTTAAAATGAGCCTTTAAAAATACCATTGCCAAATGGGTGAAAACCAAAATTTGCTATTATATCATGTCATCGTAAGTAATAGCCGGTTGAAGAATTGTGCACTTAATTAAAGAAAAAAAAATATTTAATTATTCAAAACGTAGTTATCCATTCATTTCAATGGATCGACTGCACAGAGGAATTGCAACAAATATTTCAACAATTTAATTTCTATTTTGTTCATAACATGAGTGTGTGATTATGGCAAAGCCTTGAGGGCTATCTGCCTAAGGGGAGTGATGCCTTCGTGGAGGACTTTCTGAGGGAAACTGGGTCGTATACACGTTACACATGATGAAAACCACGAAAACTCCCATGCAGCCAGCCCGTTCGCGGGATTCGAACTTCGGACCGAACTACCAGTGTTCAGCGACTTTACCGCTCGACCGCTGGTGGGCCCGTTCATAACATGAAATCTGCCTAATGAAGACAACAAATATTTTAAAGAAATTTCCTTCAAGGTGTTTAAAAAAAAAAAAAAGAGATAAACTCTGAAAGTGTTTAGATTTTAAAGATCGCCCAAAAGGGTTCTGTTAAATTTTGATATGGTTTATCAGTAGAGATTATCGATAGAAATGGCCCAGGAGGAACAGTAAAACATTTTATAGAATATTAGATGAATATACCTTTAGACTAACATGGGAATGTTGCATACAACCTGTATATTTATAAAGTAAAAAAGTATGTAATTTAATTCTATAAAGATATTAAATGTTTCAATTAAATATATGATGAATAAATGCATTTTTTTTAAATCAATTAGATGAAAGAGTTAAAAAAATCTTAAAAACTGTATATCTTGCTTTTAAATTAATTTAGTTTTTTAATTAGTAACAGAATTAAATGTGAAAGAATACTATTTTTAATTTTTCCGAATGCCAACAGACTCGAATGAAGAGTGAAACAACGCAAAAGCATATTTCGAGATTAATAGCACTTTTGGGGTTTAAAAAAAAAAAAAAAAAAAAAAAAAAAAAAAAAAATCTGAAAATGATTTCAGATTTTAAATTACGTCCAAAGGGGCGTTTTTTTAACGTTTTGAGTGTTACCTTTATTTATTAAATATCATGTTCTTTGCACTTAAACCATAAAATTCAGTTCAAGAGCAATATCGCAAAATAATGTTAAATTAAGCATATCTTTAGAATTTCCGATATACACAGTCTCGCGAGCTGGAGATAAAAGTATTTTTTTTTATATAACGTTGCCATTTCTCGCTTTTAAAGCATTGAGTTTGTAAATCAAAAATTCGTTAAAGTTTTACAAAATATAAAATCTATAATAAAACAAATTCCAAATT